GGAAGAGTGACATATTGCAGCAGTTTGTGGAGAACTGTTACCTGTGGGACGGACTCATGCTGAAGAGTCTATGAATTTTCTTCCATGGGAGAGGCCCCACACTGGAGCAGGGGAAGGACTCCTCTCCCTGAGGACCAACAGCAACATGTGATAAAGTGAACATAGCCCACATTCCCCATTTCCCTGCAGTACTGGGCAGGAGAATGTAAAAATGGAAAAGAGGGAGATATGGGAGGAAAAATTGGTTTTAAGATTTGGATTTACTCCTCATTATCCTTCTCTGATTTCGTTTGTAATAGTTCAGATCCCTGAGTCAGGTCTGTTTTGCCGGCAGTGCTATTTGATGAGTGATATCTCTCTGTCCTTTTCTCAACTTGTGAATCTTTTGTTGTATTTTCTCTCTCCTGTCCAGTTGCAAAGCAGAGTTATAGAGTGGCTCTGGTGGGTGCCTGGCATCCAGCCAGTGTCAACCCACCACAGGGTCCCAAAGCTGGACACAATACTTCAAGTGGGGTCTTACATGTGCAAGATGGAGAGAATCATGTCCCTGGACCTGCTGGCTATGCTTCTGATACAGCTCAAAATGTGATTGGTTTTCTGGCTTTCAAGAACACATTGCCAGGCCATGCTGAGTTTTCATCACAAATACCCTCAAGTCTTTTTCCCCAGAGCTGGTCTTGATGCTCTGCCCAGAGTGTGTTTGTCCCTGTCCCATGAGCACAACCATGCAGCTGGCCTTGTTGAACTGTATGAGGTTCACACATGCCCACCTCTCAGGCCTGTCAAGGTCCCTCTGGACCCCCTTCCCTCCAGTGCCCCCCAGAGCTCAGTGTCATTGGAGAACTTGCTGGGGTGCACTTATGGACACTGTCCATGTCACCAACAAAGATGTTAAAAAATGCTGGTCCCAAAACTGACCCCTAAGAAACACCCCTCATCTCTGGTCCCCACTTGGCCATTGATCTGTTGAGTCCAAACCTCCAGCAAATTTTTTATCCACCGATTGGTCCATCCATCAAATCCATGCCTTTCCAGTTTAGAGACAAGGATGTCATGTGGGGCAATGTCAAATGCTTTGCACAAGTCCAAGTAGATGATGTCAATTGCCCTTTCCTTGTCCACCACTGCAGTAACTACAAACCTGTCAGGCCTTATTTGCCCCTGGTGAAGCCATGCTGACTGTCACCAATCAACTAATTATTTTCCGTGTGCCTTAGCACAGCTTCCAGGAGGGGCTACTCCATGATCTTGCCAGGCACTAAGACCTGTAGTTACCTGGGTCCTCCTCATTTCCCTTTTAAAGTAATAGTTCTAGGGAAAATATGGTTTAAACATAAATAAAATATTAAATATAAAACGTTTCTAAAACTTGATTCTATGTGAACACTAGCATCTCTGATGAAAAAATTAAAAATATATTTTCTCCCATTTAATTTCATTACCAAGACTTTCTTGGTGAATTATAATATAATTTTGAATGTCTGACTCACTGCTTTCAAACAACTCAAAATTATAAAAGATCAGAAAAATAATTTAAGGCCAACCTCTGCTCATTCTAGCTCTCTAGCTTGTGCCCAGAGCATATGGCTGGGAGTCTGATCTCTGCACACTAATCCAAAATCTTGTAGGTGTTAATGAAATCTGATTGCTACATATTATTTTAATGTTTTAGTGGGTGTGATATGCAACTCATATAATTGATATCTGTATCAAATAAACCCTGTCACAGACAGTCAGAATGATTTATCTTTGACAAATGTCCCACTTATATGTTCTCAACTTGTCTTCTGTATGGAAGAATATTTTGATCTTTGAAGCAGTATGTTTTGATTGTATTAGTCTGACTGTAGTCACAACCTACAGAATTGTCATCCCACTGTTCTTTCCCAAAATGAAGCATTTAAAAGTGTGATTGCAGACTGGTGTTTGAGTCTCTTTCTATGGAGGGAGAAATCCAGTTGCCTAATGGACAAATAAACAGTTTAAAGTAATTGTGATGATTGTTTTGAATTCAATATTTGAAATTTCATAGTGATATTTTTCTTAGAATAATCTACCAGAATTTAATCACCTGGTGGAAACTCTGACACTTTTATACCTTATTAAATACATAAGTAGATAAAAACCTTTTTGCCTTGGAATGGTATTATGTCAGCACTCTTAACCAGCAGTCTTAACCCATCTGTCTGGCAGAGCAGCATTACATTTAATATTATTGCTAATTCTGATTTATTGGGACAAATAATTTATCAGAAGATATTTGCAACTTCAATCTTGTCAGTATATCACTCAGTGATTCCAGTGATTCCTTGAGTAATTTATTAAGACCCTTAAATTTTGATGGCTGGGTAAGAAGTCAGCCTTGTATGCTACACATCAGAGCTCCCACTGTAGCTTGTGGACTTAGTATGGTCCCTAACCACAGTCTGCAGATGATGGAAGCTGGAGGCTGACATAATTCAGCACAAAGCAAAATCTAAAGCTTAATCTGAAATGAGGCTTGAACCTGTTATCTAAACATAAACACCCAGGGGGGTGTGAGACATGCTGGGATCATTTATGGTCTGAAGTGTAGGCTTCGACACAGATGTGTGGCCTACCTGCCAGCTCCATGAAGATGTCCTGGATATTGATTGTTATTGCACACATATTGAGACAATCTAATTGTGCTTCATCTGGATGGTCCAAAGTAGTCTCTAGAATCAACTAGCGCTTTTCACCAGCATGCCAGTTCAGTTGCTTAAACAGTGGTTGTAGTGAGACACTAAATACCAAACACACTACATGTACACGTATGGGTTCAATTTATGTGTATCTATTTTGAAGCAAATCCTTCCACATTGATTTGGGGAGGAGTAGCTGATTCTTCACTAGATTTTGTTTTCCAACTGCTGGCACATAGAATTTTGGGAGTAAAAAAAGCTGGAGAAATGGTTTGTAGTGCTATTATATAGGTTCTACTACATATAAGAATCTCAGAATTAGTTGCTGAAATTGACATTCAGGCTGAGAACTGAGTAAGATGGAAATGCCATGAATGGCTCCATGTCTTGTGTGTTTCCTTAGAGGAATAGAAGCTGAACTAACTGAAGCCTGATGATCATTTTCTGGACTGTGGTGTCACAAGAAGTATTTGTGGGGTAGCAGACATTTTAGAGTAAATAAGCACTAAATGGAAAAAAAATTCTGAAATTTCAATGGAAAATGGTTGTTTGCTTTTTCTAACTTTTAGAAGAACTGAACTAAGTATTCTTAGTTGAAGACAAAAAGTCAGTTATTAACTTGCACTTTTGACTGTTCATACTGCAGAATTATTAGCTCTGTTTTAGACCACTCCAGCTTGCACTCAGCGATGAAACATGAATATTTCTTGGGAGATTTTCAGCATGAATCAATCCCAAAGAGCAAACAGCACAAGTCTGAGCCAGATTTGCCTCCCTCCAGCTCACACAGAAGAGTTTATACATCCAAATGCTCCACCTGTTTTCCTGACATTCCACAGAGCACACTGCAGGCACTATACTTTCACACTATAAAAACTTTAACATGGAGTTAAAATTGCTTTGAACAGAGGAAAATATATCTAAACCACTTAAATTTTATGTGGCGGTCACAAAGAAGGCCCCAGTAAAATTTCTATGTTTTGAATTCAAACATTTTTCTAAAAAGGTAACCAGACAAAAAGAGGAGGATTGTAAGTCAGCCCATACAATTTGGTCTAGGGCCAAGGTCACCCCATACCTCTCCCCAGTTTAGCATACAAGTTTTAGTACTAAATTTATTCTTATGTTTTATTTGCTTGTTTATACATTTTTTAATCAAGCTTTTAGTCACAATAGTCTTTTCTGGTATCCAGTTTATTTAAAATAAATGTTCAGAGAAGCCAACAAAAGGGAATCCCTTTTCACTGAGTTATATTTTCTGCATTCAGGGAGCATTGAATTTCCAGTTGCATAAACAAGACAACTTCTTAAGGTTTATTATACAAAGTAGGGATGTCTTTATTGCACTGAACAGTTTGGAGTCCTATTTCACATTTGTTGATAACTTTTTCTTACCCTGATTTCATCTTCAATGCTTGTATATTTACTATCATCCCACATCCTAGAGTCAAATTTTCATGTTTCAAAGTCAAGGGAAACATGAAAAAAAAGTCAAAGGGATTAAATAATTTAATTAGTCAAAGTCAAGGGGGTTAAATAATTTATTTTAGGAAGGAATAATACCTGACAACCTCTATTCAAAACTGAAGGTGTTACATGTACTATGAAAAGAAAAAAAAACAGTAGTAGTTTATCTATGTTTCTCACCCATTTTATTAAAAATTGTTTAAGCTAACACAAAGGAAATATAAAGCAGTCTAGCAGTCTTGGCAGAAAAATATTTAAAGCTAGAGTCGCTATTCATATAGCAGTAGTGCATATCTGCTAATATTCTTACTCAGAGCATAGAATTTATCTCACCATCTGGCTGTCCAAAATTTGCTTTAAGCTTGTAGTTTATTATTTATTTATTGACAATTGAGAAAAAAGACAATTCCAGAGGATGAATAATTCCATTCCAGGCATATATATATATATATTTTTATATATATATTTGTATGTGTGTTTGTATGTGTGTATGCATGTATCTTTTGGAAGTGCCTAGAGGTTCTCTCTTTTAACTTGAAATAAAAAATAAATAAACTCTAATGTTTGGACAGCTAAAATGAAGCTAAAGCTGAGATCAACCATGGGCTTTAATATACATATTCTTTCTTTCTTATCCTTATTTTTTTTATTTTCTACTTAAACAAAGGAACCTCCTTCATATTGAGGCAAATTAGTAATAATTCACTACTATTCACTTCAATCCATAATGAATGATTGGCAAAAACTGCAATAATTCAACAGTGAAATAACTCACCTTTTTTGTGCTGAAAAATCGAACTGTGAAAACAAAAAAATATACAGCCAAATATTTCAGTCCAGACACAGAAATCATCAAGAGAATCCACTTACCTAAAGAATAAAAACTCAAGACTGACAGCCAAAGTCAAAGTTGCTAATTGAACATAGTCAGGTACGTGCAGATGGGACAGATATCTGAGTTGAAAATACAATTCTTCTTGGAAATACAACTGATTTGAGAAGGCAGATTTTGCAAAGGCCACAGTATCTGCCTTGGTTCTGGATAGGAATGCCCATCTACTTGGGTAGCGCTGCAATATTTCCAAGTGATGGGCAGCAGGCTCTGCCACAGCAGCTGCAGGATCTCGTGGTGGCTGTTTCCCCCATGCACAGCCTGGCGACCGCCGTGGGCTCCTCCGCCCCACTGGCGCAGCTGAATGCAGAGAGAGGAAAATAACCTTCATCTCTGAATAAAAGGTCTCTGTAGATGACACTCATTTTAATTATTTTTGCTATTGAGCTACTGAGTCTATTGTTTTAGCGTCCAACAGAGTTCCTAAAATCAAAATAATTCATTTCATTTAAAGCAATTCCTCTTAGCTGTTGAAGTCACTCTGTTCTGCTGCATCTTTTATGACCAGATTGCAGTCTGTTCTCTGCAGAGTATGCAGAGAGAGTAAAAAATGCATTGGTTTGGGAGTTTTGGTTTCGGTTGGATTGTTCTCTTTAATTTAGGGTTTATTTTGCTGGCTTTTTTTTTTTACTGGAGGTATATAAAGCTTCTGGTCTTACCACAAAACAAGTATGAAAGGGAAATAAAAACTCAACTACTACATGTTAAAAATGTACTAGAACAGTTGACTACAATATACATTTTTCACGTCACTGTCTTGTTTTTATTATCTACACCATATTTATTGGAACAAACAAGTCCTTACTGATGAAAAAAAATTTCATGTGACAATTCAATCCCTAATACATTTTTTGCTTAAAATGACTTTCAGTGGTTGGAGGAAAGACACAGCTAAATGTTACCTTCTTTTTTTTTTTTTTTAATTGTTCTGTTTTGTTTTTTTTTTTTTTCTTTTTGTTAGTTATTCTTTTTCTTTCCATTAAACTATGGAAGTATTTCTCATGTGTTTCATATTACATCAAGTTAAGAGACTGAGCTTCAGATTATGTGCAAAACTAAATAATTAGATGATTTTTATTGTAATGGCTGTACCATTTCCTTTTGACCATAACAATTTGTTTTAGAAACTACCCCTGAATTGTCACTATTATAATACTATTGAATGACTGTAGAAGAAATCTGACTTTTCACTAACACTCTTTATCAACTTTCCAATGCAATTCATAAAGTTAACTTTGCAACTCTAAAAGCCACTTGATATTGAGGAAATGTCAGCTTTTGGAGGATTTTAAGATAGATGGGCTATTACAAACCTCTTGTCCATTTCCACGGCCTTACATTCAGACCAATTCTTCGTGAACTTGTATAATGAGATACTGGAGAAGAAGGGAAGAGAAAAGATAGGAAAGGATGCAGCTCTCATAAATGCAAAGTCTTATTTACTAATAGGAAATACTAGTGAAGAGTTTTGTTCTGTTTTGTTTTCTATAACTTGGGTATTATAAACCACTAAGTAAAATGACATCATACTCTGTACATTTTAAAACCCACCTAGATTTGTGATTTCATCATGTATGAAACATTTCATATTATTTAAATGCTATAAAAAATTGAGCTTAATCTAATGACTGCATATTAGAGTATTTTCACATCTTGACACCAGTCTGGAGATTTACTGCAAATCCATTTGCAATTTCATTAAATTCAGAAGTAAAGTATAACAGTTAAATTCAGAAGTATATCAGCATAGTAACAATTTTTAAAAGAGAGGCATTTCTTCATACTAAAGTGAGATAAAAAAATAAGTTTCTTTTCTAAGGTGATGTGAATGTAATAATATTCAGGAATATCCTTTCAATGAATAAGTAAAGATTTTAATAATCTTCAGAAAACTGTATATTTAAAACCATTATTCTAAATTATTTTTGCCAAAGTGATGACAAAAAGTATCAGTAAATTTCCTGTAATTTTTCATCATCAGAAGCTGTAACACTTTCTTATCAATTCATTATTGATTGCACCTTTAGAATTCAATATTTCAAACAATAAAAAAGAGATTGTTCATTGTTTATTTTCTCAATAGTCTCACTAACAATGTTTCTACCACTAATTAACTCTCTTGAAATGTCATTCTCATTCAAATGTGACCTTGAGGTTGGGAGGATCCAGGAAGCTGTAGGGGGTGAAAGGAGCACAGCTCAGAGCACAGAAAAGGAAAAGGGCATTATATTCTAGTGCATTGTTTAAAATTCACTGCAGTATTGCAGTATAGTTCTGTTTGGAACATGACCAAAACCTAAGTTTTAATTCAAAACATGCAGTTTAATTTTGATCATGTTCCAAGCTAAATTACATTAGTAGAGTATTGTAAATAAAGCAGTTTCAATGGAGGAATGAAAATATGACAGTTTTTGCTCTGCCCCTCTCACCATTACATCATTGGCTCTTCTGTAGTATTGAAAAGCTGGAGTGAAACTGAGCTCTTCAGGATGCCAGCTTCATGGTCTCTTAGAGTTCAAAAGAACATTCTGGCAACTGAACAAGTGTTAGTATGTCAGAGAAATGTTAAAAACAACAATGATAAGAGAGTGGGGTAGAGCAGCATGACAATGTGACACTGCCAGTCTTCATTAGGCTGAATCCTCTGTAGATTTCAAGGGCTGAAATACAAGATGCATGAATTTGGCCATATGCCTTGAATTTCCCATTGCATGTATTTATAAAATACTGTCCTTTAGCACAGTTATATATGTTGGAACATTCTGTTAGACTGAATTGGAACTTGTGTATCAATAATTCTTAAACTGTCTTCAAAATAACAACTTCACTGAGGGGAAGTGCATCTGCTTATGTGACAAATAGGTCTATACAATCTAACTAGGGGATATTTCTTCTGTCTAAAAAACAAATCAAATTACCAATGTCATCTTAGGCAAACACTAATAAACTTTCTATAATACATAATTACACACTTGTGTCTCTATATGCCATATTTCATATAAATATAGACAATAATAAATTGAAAATATTTTGTTTGTTTATTTTTTTTTGTTTAAATACTTATTTAGAGTCCCTTCAACTAGAAATATCTGCAATGCAGCTGGGATATTTCCACAGCTAGTATGATTCATGCAAGACAGTCTTCAGCCAGATAGCTTGAACACTGTGGCTGGGAAAGGAGTCCAATAAACAAAGATCCAAGGATCAAAGTGGTACACTGATTTATTATCAACATATAATTACCCACCATCAATGAACTATAAATTTAGAATAAATATCAACAATGCAGGAGATGTACCACATTATCAGACAGTTGCAAAATATTATACACATAAATAAATACCACCAGGTTCCAGTATTTAAGGGATTGCTGCAAAGCAGAGTCACAAAGAGTCACATGAAAGAGATGAGGGTTGATTGGTAAAAGTTACTCTTGGGAAGACTTCTATTGAACACAAAGTAAATTTTTAACAAGAGGACAATCAGCGATTCAAATCATCTCCTCAGAGAGGTGATCAATTCCACATCAGTGGACACTTTTTAGGATCCAGCTGGACAGGTGCTGGGCTACCTTGTCTAAAATCTGCTTTTGTCAAGAAAGGTTGGACTGGATGATCCCCGTGGTTATTTTGCGACAGACTGAAATGATTAATGGCTTAAACGTCAGATCAGTAGAGGACTTTTGTCCACTGTAGCAAATGGTGCAAAAAAGCAGCTGCTCATCTGGGACCATTAAAGCCCACTCCTCCCCAAATATGCCTACTAACTGGAATTTGGTCTGTGATGGAACTTGAGATAAGATAAAGGTGATGCTGTTGTCCAATTATCCCAGATCTAAGGAGAAGCAGACAAGGTTAGGGAGAAGATTGTGCCAACAAGTGTGAGAGACTGGAATGCTAATGTCTCAGTCACAGTGCTTAGCTGAGGACCTACACCTGAGGCTACAAGCTGGTGTTGTGCAAGATAAGGGAAGAGGCTGATAAGAGACAGATCGTGCAAGGGAGGATGATGCTTTTTATCATACCAAAGTCCTTACACAAATGGCTCAGCTTTGAAAGCTCCCCTCTGGAGAAATAACAGGACATTGACAGGAGATGCAGCTGTGTCATATTGAGAGGTGTCATGGAGGACTCCCAAAGTGATCCATCAGCATTACACCAGTGTGCAGCTATCTGCCCCAGGACGGGTTCCTAGCTGTTTCACCTGAACCTGAGGTAATAAAATGCATGAAACCTTGGTCTTTTGTGGACTTCTCTTACCATAGATCCAGCCTGTTGACCACCACTAAAGCAAACAGACCTGTGCACCTTGCAACCAGCAACAACCCAGGCTGGTTGCAAGGTGCACAGGTGGTGTCATCCTTCTACTTTTACCCTTTCCTTCATTTTCCTTATACATATTCTTCAGTATTACTTTTATGCTTTTATATTGCTCTATTACTTCAGATTATCCTTCCTCACACCTTAATGCCAACTTCTTGAATTCTGTTTAGCCCTGTTTTCAAGAAAAGAATTTCTGAAAAGTCCATCACAGGGGTTGCAGGCCTACCTCTTCTGGGCATGTGGGAATCCCTCCTTGCACACACTGCTCTAGGAGACCTGAGTGCCCTGGCTGCCCTTCCAGGGATGGGTAATAGCTCCAGGACCATCCCAAGGATGGAGGTGCTGGAGTATGCCCATGGTGGGTGTGGTGAGCTATGGCAGCAGCTGGGGTTGTCTGTAATGTGTCCATGGTGACAAGGTCACGAACAGCCCACAGTGCTGAGAGGCCACATCTGGCAGGGTCACGTTTCCCATTCCTGTCTTCTCACACCTGTTATGAATCCATGTGTTTTGTTTGGTTTTACTGATCCCTCTGTTACAAAAATCTCTGTAACTCCTTGGATGATTTTTAATACACTAACTTCCCTCTTTAGCTTTATCAGACTGAGATGAAAAGCTCTGTCAGGGAGCTTGGTGTCCCACTCACATGCATGGTAACACACATTCCTGTCCTTCTGTCCACTTTTCTAGGTGTACCATGCAGACCATGGTGAAACCACCCCACCACAAAGCTCAGCATGAAATCTATCCACGAATCAGAATAAGTGCTGGGTGGGCTGAGCACCTTTTATTAATCAGTGTGTCAGAAACATTTCATACCAAAAGTTTTAATCTTCAGGGCACTTGATTCCATTTACCTGAAATAATTTGGCTTGCAATTGCATCTGAACCTTCAAGTACTACTGTAACACAGACA